ACCTATTCTGTTTATGCACGACGTGTTTCAATGGGCAAAACGCCGATTTTGCGTTGGCGATAAAAATACAGATAAAATTCCACATAAATAATACTATTTTTAATATCCCACATAAATTTTATATCTTTAGCATTCCGCAAAAATTTTAAAAAAAGCGTTTTTTGCCTTTCAACAACAGTTATTCCGTTAAAAACTTCATTTGTCCGCACGTAAGAATCATGCACTCCTGGGAATTGAATTCGAAATCTTTAAGTTGTACGCGGACAGCAAACATCGTCTTAGGATTTCAGCTGTTCGTCTTGTCAGACCCCCGAGATCGCTTTCCCGCCAAGAAATTCGTATACTTTTCCGAGGCGTTCGTAAGTGTGACCTAGGCACACGCGAATGGTAATATTGGAATGGGAGGGTCGCACAGGAGTAAGCACACATTCCCGAAGTTTCAGTTTTTTTTTTCCTTTTATCAGGTTGAAAGTGGGTGACAAAAAGCGGAAACACACAGACACACGCACATACACAGTCTCTTGCCAATATGCGTTTAGCTTACTGTGGCAGCGCTATAGCGCTGCACAGCAAAAACGCATAACGAGCAACGCGGAGTCCCGGACTTTTTGCAGTAACTGCGAAGGATGGGATGTGCGAAGAAGAAAGGAAAGAGTGAAACTAGCCTAGTTAAGTTTAATACGATCGAATCGAATGGAGGCAGGACGAACTGAAGCCGTTAGGTTTAAATTGCGCGTTGGTTGAACAAACAGTCGAGGAGCAACGAACGGCATGGGAAAGGCATCATTCCGCTGCCTACATTTATAATTCTGACTGCCAAACGGATCATCTTCATGGGCATGGGTTGAAAATCTGCTGCAGACAGCAACAGCATCGTAATAGATAAGCAGTCTCAATTAAAACGTTGAAGCCTTGCAGGCTTCCAATCTGCGAGAGCAGTAAAACAAACCAAGCGTAGAAGTAGATGACGACTGCAGAGACGCTGGCTGTATGTGTTCTGTAGGAACAGGCAAGGTGTGCAGCTGATCCTGATCGCGATGAGCAGTGAAGAACGCTGGCGGCTCAAGCGGCCAAGATGGTGGAGGACGACTTGTCGTGCGACTCGACAATGGCGTTTGGGGTGCTCCCGAACCCGCACCATTCACCGACATTAGAACACCGCGCTCGTGCTGGATTTTCAAATACTAAAATTCAGACTGTTGAGGATGCTTGTTTTAAATTTTATTTTGCATTTGCTTATTGTTACATGTTTTACATTTTCAGTCAGCAAACAGTCCGTCACTTCACTAACGACGTACGGAGTACCACTGCACAAACAAGCAAAAAATCCACGGATCAGAGTGGCGATAATTATTGGAGCGGAAAACTTCCTGATGACCCAGACGGCGGACGCTAAACAAGAACACACAGATAGGTGTCAAGTGAATACAGAAAAAAAACTCAGTTTTTGCCAAATTAATTCAGTTTGCATTAAGGAACCTTTCGCAAAACAAGGCTTTTACGAGAAATGGAATCGCTGAAGGGTAAATGCATAGTTCATAATCATCTGTTTTGGAATATTCTTCCTTTATATTCCCTCGCGCCAGATCAGTATATTTTAAGGTATGCTATTTTATTAAATTACAACAAAATTTCAAATCCAAAAGGACTTCTAGTTGATAAGATACTTCACTACAGTGCCGAAATGGCAACTTTTGAGAAAAGGTAGGATCCTCACTACATACCAATGTCATTTTGACATCACTAAAGCCTAGCCACGTTTGAGTTGGTAATTTTTTCAGGAGACGGAACGAATATCAGGATCAACAACAGACTGGCCATCAGAAGAGGGCAACAGTTGAGAAAGCATGTAAATAACTGCAGCTGATCAAATTATTAAACTAACTTTTAAGGGAAATTTTATGCAGTATGGCAGTTCCAATCTCGAGAAATTTATGGTTCCGAAATTGCTAGTTTAGCAGAATTGCTCAACAGCCTACACTGTTAAGCAGGACTCAGTCAAAAGGAAAGTCTTGCCGCTTCAGCGGGAAATTAGAAACATACCCGATCAAGACGCATGTACGGATTAGGTGCAACAGATGCCTCCGGGTGAATGAACAAACAACGGTCACCGTACGGACACAGACCAGCCATTGTGTATTTGTCACACAATTTTGTCTTGTATTTCGGATTTTTTATCGGTAACCTGAAGAAAATTACAAGTTCAAATGACTGCAAAAACAAAAGAGGGAACAAAAGACCAGTCGCTGAGTT